ATGTCTGTGAGTATTTCTGTGAGTCTATTTTGTACATAAGTTCATTTCTGTGAGTCTATTTTGTAAATAAGTTCATTTCTGAGTTTTTAAGATTCTACATAAGTGATATCACCTGAAAACATTTTTTTTACTATAAAGTAAAACCATTTAAGGAAACCTTGAATGAGCCTAGCACTTGTATGAGGAGCACGAGAGCAGCAGGGAAGCCTGAGAGCGCCTTTCTTAGGCTCCAGCCAAGGAGAATTCTCATGGAGGATTGGGGAGGAGCCCAACTAGCATCCTGGCTGGTGAAGGAGAAAGACAGTGATTGAAGTTACACTCAGATTCAACCCAAGGGTACTCCCCCTACCTGGCCAGGCCACCTAAAACGTCTACATCCTGAAATCCCCACCCTCTTCTTTTACCCCCCCCCAAACTTAGCTCCCCTGGGACATTTCCCCCAGACAGGGGGAGCCACCATCCGAGACTGAGATCCGGGAGAACACTGCTTTCAGGGCTTCCCTGGTGGCGCAGTGGTTGAGAGTCCGCCTGCCGATGCAGGGGACACGGGTTCGTGCCCCAGTCCGGGAAGATCCCACGGGCCACGGAGCGGCTGGGCCCGTGAGCCATGGCTGCTGAGCCTGCGCGTCCGGAGCCTGTGCCCCGCAAGTGGAGAGGCCACAACAGTGAGAGGCCCGCGTACCACAAAAAAAAAAAAAAAAAAGAACACTGCTTTCAGAGCAACACCGTGCAGGATGATGTGTTCCTAAAATCTGGAGTTGAAATTCACCTTATACATTTTCCACAGAAATGTTGATATATTTGGTCCAAATAAGCGTAACAATGGTAGAAGAGTAGGCCCAAGAACGACTGATGGAACAGTTACTGTGGGCCAGACGTCACTTCATCTCTCCAACAACCCCACAAAGAAGACATTTTCATCTTGATTTTGCAGATGACGAAACTAAGGTTTAGAGAAGCTGAGATCCCAAAGCTAGCAAGTGACAGAGCTAGAAGTTCACTTAAGTACACTGACAATTATATAAGCCCAGTGCAGGTGAATTTTACACTGTACGTTCCAAGGGCCTTATGTGTTGAGTGGGCATTTGTGGCCTATGCTGAGCCACTAGTCCAGGCCTCACAGTGGTTCTATGGGAAAAAGAATTCTGTTATCCAGCAGCCAGCCGCCGCGGGCTATGGTACCTTCCCTTTGTTGGGAATGACCCCATAATCTGAACAAAATTACCAGATCAGCCTACACAGGTTTATTGACGCTCAAACGCTCAAAGGCTTATAACAGTGATACATTATATTTGAGACCAGCTAGATATAATTTAATTTCTTCTCTGAAGATTCAGAAGGCACTTCAGAAGTTTGCAGGACCTTGGGACTCTCATTATAACGTGTAACCCTCGCCGAACAGGGGGCTCTGAAGCATGAATTTGCAGAGACCCAGCGAATGGCAGGGGCTGGCTACTCTTCCATTCTACAGCTGAGGACAGGAGGCTTAGTGAGGTCAAGTCACTTGGCTTACAGTGTCAGACAGCTCATGGTGGGGCTGAGTCCAACTCTATCTGACACCAAAACCCTGGTTCTTTCCATAAGCCCACCCTGCTTTGCAAAGGCAAAGCTAACAATGCCCTCTGTATCTAAACATGAGAAAACCCAATGAGCTAAGTTACATGAAGAGTTATTTTTAATAGCTAAATTCCATCAACATTATGGTAAAGAGGGGAAAAGAAATTAAGCTTTAATTTCATCTTCCAGGTCTTACAGGAAAAGACACAGGCTCTTTGTCATGTGTATTCTTTCCCTCGGTCTCAGCACTGTTAAAGAAGAAGCCTTCTCTCTGGGGTTTCTATGTACTGTAAACTTCATCAGAAAATCAGCAGTGCTGACATAAAAATGAAAATTACTTTCTTCTACTCTTGATTGAAAAGGGAGATAGGTGGACAGCCTTGGAGATTAAAGAGCAGCCTTCACAGAACATTGCCTGGTGGCAAACAGTGGGTGCTTGATACACAGTAATGTGGTTTGAATATTATAAGAGCTAATGCATCTCAGTCTACTTATGTACCAGGCACTGCCCTGAGTACTGCAGATGTAGCACTCATTTAGTTCCCATGGCAACCCTGGGGGGCAGACCCTCCCATCCATTTAACAGCTAAGGAAACCAAGTCACAGAAAAACTGAATAAGTTGTCAAGGGTAATACAGTCCGTAAGGAGAGGTAATTTTAGCTGACAATTGAATTCATTAGAGAATGAGGGCTTGCAAGAAGGTTAAAAGGGATGAATGCTAATACTCATATTCCTCACCTTTTGGGATTCATATATATATGTATATAAATACGGGATACATCCCTGTGTATGTTATTATGTATTTTATATTATATATATTTTTACTTTATATGTTATAATTACAAATATGAATATATCTGAATATATTCCAAGTTATAATAAAATACAATATACAAAATATAATATAGTATTATATAAAATAACAGGAAACTTTTATTACCCATAGAAAACTTGGAATCTCTGCAGAAACATGTAACTCTACACCAGTCTCGCAAACACACACCATCACTGCCTACTCAATATTCACAACAGATGTTACTAATAATCTCTGCTCTCTTCTTCAGGGAAGCCAAAGAAGAACTCGGAATCCTCTTTAACACAGCTCTTCAGGCAGCCACAGTCAACCAAGCAGAGCCACCTTGACAAATTCAAAATGATACGCCAGACCCACTCTAGGCAGCTGAGACTGAGGGACTGCAGCCAAGGGTGGTCCTGCGGAGCCATCAGTTCTCAAGGGTCACCCATGTGGTTTCTGGTCACCACACCAGCCATGGTGGCGGAGCAACGGGCCCTGTCAACAAGGATGGGACAGGAGAGCTGGATCCAGGGCGAAGGTGACCCCAGGGATGACGAGCCCTTGCTTTTCCTCACCAATTCCAAGTGAAGACCCCCACCGCCAAGATCCCCAGTGCAAAACGCAGTTTAAAACCTTAGTGAAATTTACATTCTTAAATACCAGGCACTTTCCCTGGAGCAGCATGTGAAAATGAGCCAGCTTCATCTCCAATTAGCTTAATTAGTTCAAGAGGTTCTTTATTTGGAGAGGCTATCAGGAAACTCAATATACAGAAACTCAAAAGAACACTCAGTACCTTTCCTTCAGGGATTTCCTCCTTTCACAGTGAAAGAAACAAAAAGGGGCAGCTGATAACTTGCCACTGAAGCTGAAACAATGAGGAAAGAGGACCTCAGGTGTAGGAGTTTCCAGTCCAATCATAGAGGACGCAAAGCTCACACTTTTCAGCCAAAATGAGTCAGTATCTGGCTCTTCTAGCCGAAACCTGAGAGTATCACTGTTCAGTTAATAACAGCTGTCGTTACTCAGGACTTGCTTCGTCCCGGGTGTGTTCTCAGAGCTTAAACAACAATCCCACACATCCATTGTCACTGTTGTGCTTACTCTACAGATGAGGAAACTGAGGCTTAGCGAGGTTCAGTAACATACTCAAGGGTCACAAAGCGGTTGTCTTGGATCAATTTCCCCAGGACAGACAAAGCTGACCACAGAACTCAGGAGAAAGTGAGTTGTTATGAAGCATTTCCAGGAAAAAAAAAAACAAAAAAAACAGGCACTATCTGAATGGGGACATGGGACCCAGAGATAAGGGGACGAAACAAGAGGGGGACATCAGGCAAGTATCCATCCCATGGAGGGGACCATGGCTCAGTCCCAGTGGGGAGCTCTGGAGACAACTTAGGTCACACTTCAGAACGGTCACCATGGTAGTAAAGGAAGCCGGGTGTTTGTGTTCGTCATTGGTTAGCGGCTGCCCTGGGGTATGTAGATTCCCAGGTACTTCCGGGCTTTCTGAAGGAAATGGCAAAGGGGGTCCAGCAGCCTGAGGGTCTCTTTGCTGAGAGAACTCAAGTTCTGGCTGCTGGGAGCTATAGTGGCTGCTGCACTGTCCTGCCCAGACAACCCCCCCACTCCCCATCCCCCCTTTCAAGTCCAAAGGTCTCATTCCCCAGCTGCAATCCTGCCCAGGAATTGCCCTTGGCCAGGGAAGAATCCTTGCCCAAGGTTATGCACTCCTCCCAGGGAACCTCCTGCTCTCAATTCCTGCTTCAGGGTCTGTTTCCTATGAAAACAAACTTGGGTCAGGAGGGAAGGCACCCTGGAAGCCAGTGTGGTCAAAACAGCAAAGGGCTCTGAAGGGATGACAGAGGGGATGCACTCCCAGCATTGGCCGCCCTGGCTCAGGATCAAAGCAGCAGCAATAACCGTAAAATGTTAAAAGGCAAGACATGGCGTATTGTTTCACTTTGTGAAACCAAATTGAATCAAGCTTTACACTCACCCAACTGGTTTGACGTATGTTCAAGCTTAGTCACTTTTCGAGAACCTGTCCCTAGGACAGCATGAAAATCTGGGAAAGCATGAAAGAATGATGTTCTCTGACACACCTGGTCTCAGGCAAGGACATTCCCAGGAGCGGGAACTGGAGGGATGCGTTATCTGCAGAGGTGATGGTGGTGCTGATGGTTCAGGACAGAGAAGGACAGAAGGACAAGGGTTACAGGAGCCCACGATGAATAACTCTTCTTAAATTCTTCCCCTTCAATGTGCACCAGGGCCTGACCAAGCCAAGCTTTCTAACTGGTGCCCTGGTCCTACCTCTAACCTATCAAGGAAGAACAAGCCCTCCTGGGAAGAGACAGTAGCAAGTGGGACCCTAGGCTCGGTTACTGAAACTTCTCCAGTCATCTTCTAATGATACTTTGCCCTCTGACCCCTTTTACCCTCTCAATCTCCCCAACCGCCCCCCCCATCCCCTGCTGCTTCCCCAGCCACAGCCTCTGATGCAATGGGGCAGGTCTCATCCCCACCCTGACTGCACCTCTATTCATTCAGCCCCAACAAGTCTGTCTCTTTCCTCTTGGCCAGAAATGCTCTGCCATTTCTTGTCCATCTATTTAAATCCATCCCACCTCTCCAGCTTCAAAGCAAGCTCTTCGAGATCCATCTAAGATGGTGACTGTGGAACTGGAAACCACCCCTACACCTAATCCCCCACCTACAGAAGAAGAGAAAACAGAATCTCGTCAGGAGGTTGCTAACCCAGAACACTATATTAAACATCCTTTACAGAACAGATGGACACTCTGGATTTTTTTAAATGATAAAAGCAAAACTTGGCAAGCAAACCTTCAGCTGATCTCTAAGTCTGATACTGTTGAAGACTTCTGGGCTCTGTACAACCATATCCAGTTGTCTAGCAGTTTAATGCCTGGCTGTGACTACGCACTTTTTAAGGATGGTATTGAGCCTATGTGGGAAGATGAGAAAAACAAACGAGGAGGACGATGGCTAATTACATTGAACAAACAGCAGAGACCAAGTGACCTCGACTGCTTTCGGCTAGAGACACTGCTGTACCTTATTGGAGAGTCTTTTGACAACTACAGTGATGACGTATGTGGAGCTGTTAACGTTAGAGCTAAAGGTGAAAAAACAGCAATGTGGACTACTGAATGTGAAAACTGAGAAGCTGTTACACATATAGGGAGGGTAGACAAGGAAAGGTGAGGTCTTCCTCCAAGGATAGTGATTGGTTACCAGTCCCATGCAGACACAGCTACTCAGAGCGGCTCCACCACTAAAAATAGGTTTGCTGTTTAAGAAGACACCTTCTGAGTCTTCTCGTGTGAGAATGCGTCAAGCAGTCGAGATTTGGGAGCTGAACCAAAGCCTCTTCAAAAGCAGAGGGGACTGCATTTTAATTTGATTTCCATCTAAATGTTGCTAAGATATAAGAGAAGTCTCATTCGCCTTTGTCTTATACTTTTGTGTTCATATACATATATTTTTTTAATTTTGGCTAGAGTGTCCACTATCCCAATCAAAGAAGTATAGCACACATCATCCCCAGAATCCATAAATGTGTTCCTGGCCCACTCTGTAATAGCTTAATAGAATTAAACATTACAAACACATTTGGCCCATGCACAATATTAAAGAAAAGAATTTGCATTTCTATACCTCACAAGAGAACGATTCTGTTTATGTTCCATTGTATGCAAGAGCTTATTTTGCTCGTTTGAAAGAGTATGATGCATGCAGTTTTCTAACAATTGTCTTTCTTTCTTTTTACAGCATTGTCTGTGCTGTACTCTTGCTGATGGCTGCCAGATTTTAATTTATTTGTTTCCCTACTTGATAACATCAGTGATTCTGGTTTCAGTTTTTCATTTGTTTTGCTTTTGTTTTTTTCCTCATGTAATACTGGTGAAGGATCCAGGAATATGACACAAAGGTGGAAAAAAGATTAATTTTGTGCATTCTTTGGTAGTTTTTTGGGGGGTTTTTTGTAACTACAAAGCTTTACTACAAATGTATGCATTTCATTCAAATCAGTGATCTATGTCTGTGTGATTTCCTAAATGTAGTTGTAGATTATAAAAAGTGTATCATCATAATTACCTTCCTAATTAGAATCAGTATGCCTGTTTTTGTATCTTTATGCTGTATTTTAACACTTTGTTATACTTAGGTTATTTTGCTTTGGTTAAAAAATGGCTCAAGTAGAAAAGTGGTCCCATTCATATTAAGACACTGTAGAAAACTGTAAATAGCATGTGTACAGTGAATTGTCTTTTAGACAAAAAAAAAGCAAAAAAAAAAAAGCAAGCCCTTCCTCCTCCAGGAAGCCTTTGCTGGCCGTTTCAGTGCACATAGACACCTCCCTGCCCTGGTCACCAGCGCCACCCACAGCTGCGGAGTGCCTTTAGGTGAAAAGCAGCCACCTACTGTCATTGTGTACCGATGCTTCACCTCCCCAAAAGAGAATGTCAGCTAAGACCTTAACTAGTGAAACTCCTTCTGAATCTTCCACAGCATGGAACATGGGGACACAGAGGAGAGTCTCACAAAAAATAATAAATCCACGGATGGTTTATTATATGAAACTTAAGAGCCAACAGTGAAGCCTAGTTCCAGCACTCCTTCCTGGAAGAGCAATTACAAGCTATGGGCTGAACTGTGTCTATTGTTTTTCATGCATGTTTACTCTTCAATACTGATTGAAACACACGTCATCCTGAGAAAAAGAAGACCGGCTCCTTCTCCCATTCTCTTCCCCTGCACCCTCTACCAAATCCTCCCCCGAGACGAGATACACGCCTCCCCCCAGAGCCGTGTCTCCATGTGCTGAGCAGTGGATCCACAGCTGTTGGACATCACAATCCATCAAGCATAGACCAAGAGAGCATATGCTGTGGGCCTGGACGCAGCAGACCAGAGGGGTGGATGAGACAGGGTACAGGGTCTGGCCACACAGGGGATAATGGGTCCTGCCATGCTCAGAGACCACAAATACCTACATAGAAGGGGATGCTTTGACAGAGATGCCGGAAGGTTTACTGAGCATGCTCGATAGCGGGAGACTGATGTGAGAACACATTTTTCGCAACCTGGGCGATGCAGCAGAGTGAGCAGCAAAGAGAAATGCTGCCTTATGTATCAGTGCCAAGGCAGCTTCTAAAAGGCACAGAGACCTGGGTTCTAACCCGGTTCTGAACTTTCTAGTAGGACACTGTCAACAAGCCACTTCATCTCTCTTCTCCAAGCTCCTGACCTATAAGAGGAGAATAAAAACAGAACGTGTCTCATAGGGTCGTTATAATGATTACAGCATAAACGGCTGGCTAGGCACCAAGGATCACGCTCCCTCCCCACAGAGTACAGCCATGCTGGGAGCACGGCTGAGCCAGGGACCCTACTTCCCAGGCCTCTCTGCGCCGAGATGGGATCACGTGATCAAGTTCTAACCAATACACTGAGAAGAAGTGCCTCCCACCACCTCAAGGCCTGGCCCACCAGAGTCTGCAGGTAGCTCTCCACACTCACAAACACAACAAGCCTCTTGATGCAGAGGCTTCAACCCGGCAAATGGCGTTAGGCTCTACCTGCTGCCACACCAGAAAGTGCAAGACACCTGGTCTTTCAATCTTTCTGGAGAGGAGAACGGTCCATCAAATTCAAATCCTGGGCTTGAGAAAATGCAAGAAATAAACCACTATACTCCAGGATTTGCCTGTTAGAGAAGTTAACCCTATGTTAGCCAATACAAGAATTACATGCTGTGCCTCAAGCATTATGCAATGCCTGACACAGAGAACACAAAAAATAGGGTTGCTCTTGTGTTTCTTACCCTGAACTCTTTATAGCACTTGATACCTCTAGGGTATTTCTATATCAGAGATGCAAATTCAATTTGTGTTGCCAAGCACTGAAGACAGTACAAAGTTAAAAGTTTTTAAATGCAGAGATTCCATTCTTCAGGGATTCATATGTGCAATTAGACCCATAATGTAAGTAATTACACTGCAAGGCAAATTTTATTAAATGCTTTGACAGAGGCTCAACGTGCAACGAGAAGATTCATTTTAGCTGAAGCGTTTGACATATTCCTGGAGGAGGGGAGTTATAAATGGGGCCATGAAGACCACTTTTATTTCGCAGATGGACACATCGGCCAGGGGATTGGGGAAGGGGTAAATCCAGACAATGGGAGGCACTAAAGGCCCCAGTAGAAGGTTCCAAAGCACTTTCTCTGTCCTCCTGTATAAGGCAGGCACGGCAGAAGGGGACTAGCTGTGTCAGGGGGAGTAGAAGGTGCTTTGGGGATACAGTGAGAATTAGGGCTGCAAATGCCAGCTGGGACCAGCTTGAGAGGGGCCTCCAATGGCAGGCTCAGGAGTCCAGACCTTCCTTTATTAGTCATGAAGTACATGAGTCAAGACTCGTACTGGAAATGGCAGAAACCCAACTGGCACTCTCATATACAAACAAAGGGATTCAGAGGTCCTGCTCGTAATCGAACTAATAGTTACAGCTGGTCCTCAGGAACAAATGGAACCAGGGACCGGAACACCACAAAACATCACAGGTAGCACCTCTGTTCACTCTTACAATCCTGTTTTAAATGACTTGTACTGTTTTTCCACTATCTGAAATCATCTTATGTACCGACTTGTCTGACCTCCTAGGATATGAGTCCCAAGGACACAGGGCAGTCTGTTTTGTTTACCACAAATTACAGCCTCTAGCATGGTCTCCTGCCTGGCCAGCACTCAGCAGGCACCCAGAGAGTATTTGTTGAAAGAATAATGCGAATGGGTCAGAGATTTTAAGATATCCTGGTTTAGGCAAACTTGAGTATTCTCCTTGACTGCTCCAATTCCCCATATCAATCTGTACATTTGCAGTAATATCTGAATGGCTCAATTTCTCTGTTACTCATGTCCCCATAAATCAGCAATAGGAGTGAACTTCCGGTCCTGCAAGGCTGAAGGTCGCAAGCTGGACTCCCATGGAATCACTGGATGAACTGTCCCGTAGTACGGCAAGGAGTTAGACCAGCTGACCAGCACTGAGATGTTCTAACACTCTAGTAGGTTTCTTTGAAGTGCCTTCAGTCTCTACCTCAGAAACTCATACCTTGAACCAAACTCTATGCCGGAAGGCTCTGAGGGGATTAAGAGGGCTTTATGTCACAACAAAGGGGCACAAGTGACATTTTTTAGACCTCATTCCTGTTCTCTTGCAAATGAAGTCACTGCAAAAGTTTTCTAAGGAGCCTAGGCATAACCAAGACACATCTAATCTCCTCTTTGACCCCAGCCAGGTGCTAAAACTCTCTCATCCTCTCTCTTTTCTGAGGTCCTGCCATGTCCTTCAGTTTTGCCAAGGCAGAGATGGTTTGAACATACTGGAGAGTTCCATATCTGTTCTCCTTGGTATCACCTGACAAGAGACGATCACAGCCCTACTTTGAGCCTTTCTGTTCTGTGATAACCTTTCCTATTTTTACTACCATTTGACTAAAAACAGCCAAAGTTATTTCAGGATCAAACTAAGAATCATCACACCATGCTCTGGGTGAGTTGACTTTTTTGTAGCCGCTCCACCCCCATGTATCTTTGACCTGTTAAGATTCCCGCCTTGATCTGCTCAATACTTTGTGTGTTACTCCAAGAAGGAGCAAGGTACCATGCTGCTCTTTTGTATTTTATTTCCATCTTTATAGTTGGAGATACATTTTTGTTCGAACAGTTAAGTCCCCCCAGAAGTCATACAGCAACACAGGTGCGGCAGCATATCACATACCAACAGGTCATGCTTTGGGCCATTTTAAGGACTCCTATTTGACTAAAGCCAGGAAATGAAAAGAGTTACGTTACAGAAAAGAGCGCTCCCCAGTTTTCCCAGTAGACAGGATGGCTTTCTTGGGCAAGCAGAGAGCGCTACCTGTAAACTATTTTCATTTTGATACAGTCTTTTACTCTAATCACAAACCCTTGCAGATGAACCCAGAAATACCTTTCACCATGCACTAAGGTGAGATAATGGGGAGACCATTAGTGTTAGAAGAAAATTACTGTGGTTCACCTCACTATTTCTGCAGCCAGGTCTAAGCCCCGTCATTATTAGGGAGATGAGTTTGTGCCAATCCATTTCTAAATCTCACCTGGTTCCACGTGAGACCAGTGATTTCTATTTACCAGCAGATAATTAGGACGTAATTTCCATCTGTGGCTATCACCTCCATGAACCTCAAATTTACCATTTATCCAAAATCTGTCTTGAACAGCAATAAGGTACAGAGATTTATGCTAGGT